CTTGCGAACTCGCCTTTTTCTCGCACAAGGCTTGCACCAACACTTCTCCTCTTTTGCTTTTGCCTTGTGTATCATTCGAGCTTGTTTGGTCTTGCTCCTCCTAGGCTTGAGCTTAGCTCGTGGACCACATCCTTTTGGCCAGTCCCTCTTGCATGATGGTCGATCAATTGGACTTGATGGCTCTTCCAACATGTTCTCCAACCATAAAACGAGACCATCGTCACCTTCATCGTCTGACTCACCGGGGATGATGACCACTTCCGTATCAAAGCACGATAGCGCGCGCATGCACAGGTGGAGCAAACGAGCGAAGCCTAGTCCGCGCGGGACTAGGCGAGACGGGTGGCAGCAACGCGCGTAACACGGCGCGCACATGGACAGGGGGCGTAGCAGATAACGCGTGGGAGCAGTGCGCGCGCGAAGCCGCGCGCAACAAGGAAAAAACGCCGAAGGCACGCACGAATAGGCGGTTGGCTTGGGGCGGCGACTTGAGCTTCAAGACTTGTGCTTGGAGTGCAAGTCAAGACAATTAGCATTTTAGTAATGTTAGGATTTTGTTTTCTTATTGCTTTTATTTATTAGTAGTAGAATATGTTAAGAGATATTCTAGTATTAGGATTTATGTTGTTGCCTAGATTAGGAGATCTAGATTTATTAGGCTTAGATTTATTTTACAACTATAAATACCCATGTACCTCTTCATTAATAAACATGTTGAATGTTGAGTCTTGGAATTGATGAGTGAATCTCATAGGGGGAACTTGTAGTTCTTTTGTGTGTTTAAACAAGGCCGTTAGTGCGTGTTTACATACAGTGTCGGAGAGAAGGCCATTAGAGCGTCTTGAAGTCACGGTATCTAGGAGAAGGCCGTAGTGTGCCTGTTAGATACACCTATCGTGGATAAACGAAGGCCCTGGGTGTGCCGTTTGTTCACACCCAACCCGTATAGATAAACACATCGATCAGCGATCTTTCATCAGCGTGCCAGCTGCCTGTCCGTGGTGCACAGTAGTGCCCGACAGTGCTAATCCATGCCAGTGCGGTAGCCCGCGTGCACGGCAGTGGCCAGTCGTGTTCAGTCACGCCCAGTAGCCGTTGGCCGTGCACAACAGCACGCCAGCAGCTGTTGATACGGAAGTGGAGGTTAGCACCAGCGAGTCTAGTCAGGAGCTGAAGGGCAAAAGGTGTGCATCGGCACTTGATGCACACGAGTGGGCGAACGAGCAGCACACGCGGGATTGGCAAGGAGTACGCGGG